AAGTGAAGAAATAATATATAATATACAGTAATAAAATAATACATAATATTCATAATACAAAACATAATACATAATAATTAGTCCTAAAGTTAGTACTTTCGATTTTCTATCCCTTTATGACATGTAACACAATAATAATGGGAAATGCAGGTAGAACAAATATAACTTGAATGGTGTGTCGTGCTCGGATCGTCCACGAGAATGGACAATTTGGGAAGAGGAGATACGATTGATTATTCGAAACTTGCAGCTCGTTTTTTAGCAGTTGTTGATAACTCGTGACTATAAGAACGAGCCGCGAAGCTTTGACAATCGTATCTCCTCTTCCCAAATTGTCCATTTTTGTGTGCAATCGGAGTGTCAATTAGGGAGAATTTACTGTACTATAATGTCTCGTTTCGGTTTCTCGTTTCGCAATTGTGAGAGTAATCGACGCATTTTCATGGGAAACGAGTGCACGAATTATGTAACTGAAGCAATTATAGTCGATTCTCCCCAATTGATGCTCAGATTGTGCAGAAAAATGGACAGTTCTGGAAGAGGAGGTGCGATTGTTCGAACCTTGTAGCTCGTTTTTTAGCAGTTGTTGATAATTCGTAACTATAAAAACGAGCCGCGAAGCTTGGACAATCGTATCTCCTCTTCCCAAATTGTCCATTTTTGTGTGCAATCGGAGTGTCAATTAGGGAGAATTTACTGTACAATAATGTCTCGTTTTGGTTTCTCGTTTCGCAATTGTGAGAGTAATCGACGCATTTTCATGGGAAACGAGTGCACGAATTACGTAACTGAAGCAATTATAGTCGATTCTTCCTAATTGACGTTCAGATTGTGCAGAAAAATGGACAGTTTTGGAAAAGGAGGTGCGATTATTCGAGTCTTGAAGATCGTTTTTGCAGTCCTTGCCAATCGGTAATTATAAAAACGAGTCGTGAAGCTCGAATAATCGTGTCTCCTCTTCCAGAATTGTCCATTTTTGCGCGGAATCTGTGCGTCAGTTAGAGAGACATTACTGTAGATCGTAATAAAAAACGTTGACATAAAAATTAATCAATTCTCAATCTGTCGTAGGAGGGTGACCGCCCTTGGCGCAAGGGGTACACCGATTTCATTGTCACGTTACTGTATTTCAACGAAATAATTTCTTCGAATTATAGAAATCGAATTTTACGATCCACGTGCAACGATCGCGTTTCTAACAGTTTCCAAAGCGTAAACAAATTCTGAAAACTTGAAAAATTATTTTGCAACGTGACGTGAGAATTTCTTTTTTCAAACGGCGAGTCTCCGATCGGGCGCCGAAGGGTTGAAGCGAATTCGTCGCCGAGGATGACGGCTCGTCGAACGCGGCGTCGATCGGCTTTCGATCGTCGATCGGATCGAATGTCGATCGGATCGAGAGAGCGTTGCTGTGCGACGCAACCGAAGGAAGAGGCTCGAACGGACGAGGAATCCGTTCCAGTTTCGTCGCGAACTGGAACGGAGAGAACCGCGAAAGGGACCGAGAAAGATAGGTGGTCGTCGATTAGACGGGCCGAGGAGAGTAACGAAGCGTCGCGAATGGAGGAAAAAGAGAAATCCGTCGGGGATAATCGAATCGAGCGTTTGGAAACGGCCCTTAAGCCTTTACGAGAGGGGACAGACAATGGGAAGGTAAAAGTAAAGCGTCGTTCTTGGAACCGGAGGGCTGCTCACCCCAGCAATAAAATGATAAGAACCCTCGGCCTCTCCCTTTCTGCCTCGGCCGGCGACGTTTCCTCCGGCCGGAGTCGGCTCGTATATAAATGTCGATATTATTGTAACGAACCGCTTTTAATAGCGATTCCTTCTTCCGCGGCCGCCGTTGCGCGCGGACACGGCCGCCCGCCCGATTGGACGGCCGCGAGCTCGTTGAATCAACCCCGGGATTTACGGTTTCCGGCGCTCGGCTCGCTAATCGAACTTAAATTCTTCCCTCGGTAATCGATTTCACGCAGCCTTCCGTCCACGGCGAGCACTTCATTTTCTCTGGCCAACCGATGCGCCGCAAAATTACTGCAAATTCTTCGTAATTTAGACGCTCGGATCGCGTCGACGTTCGGCTCCGAAAAGGGTTGATATTAACCCTTTGCACTCGATCGGCGACACGGAAAATTGCTGCGAAATTTTTTTAAAGAATTTACGCACTGTCGATGTTTGCATCCAATAAATTATGTTAACAAATGTAAGAGGATAGATTATGTTTCCAGTGCATTCAATAAATAGAAGCACGCCGAATGGTAATACTGTAGCTTGAAACGAATGCTTCCGTTTTGTGGTTGAGACAGTCTCGAGGGCAAAGGGTTAATGCAGGGGTTTGGTCGAACGGTTTGCGAAAAATCCTGTCGAATTTTGCGAATTTTTATTTATTTGTGAAGGAAGGAAGCGACGAAGGCAATTGCTCGCGTGCTTCGTAAATCTGGCGCTGAAATCGTGGCACAGAAAATTCTCCCTAATTTTCCCTCAATTTTTAAACAAAAATGGACAATTTAAAGTGAGAAGACGCGATTATCAGATCCTCGCGACACGATTTTATAATTGCCGGTCGTTGACAATTATTAAATCGAGTCGCAAGGCTCGATTAATTTTTCCAAATTGTCCATTTTAGTGCGCAATCTGAGCGCTAATTAGGGAGAATTTACGTACAACTAGACCGCGGATTTTTATGCAAAATAAAAATGGTCTTCATCGATCAATAAAAAAATACAAGCTAAATAATAAGTTCTTTCTTTCTGCAATAACCATTTGATATTTTACTAAAACTTGATGTATTATACGTAATTATTAATTATCGTATATGTAACAATGAGACAAACCCATTCTTGCGGTGGAAATTAATTCTTCGGTTTTAAATTTGTTATAAACTATTTTTGTAGCGCATTTAATAAACATGTAACAGCTTGAAGATAATACATCGACGTTTCTAAATTCTCTCGATGCTTAAATTGTTTAAACTACAGCCATCCAATTTCAGCCACAAATGCATAAAATCCGCATTATACGTAATTATTAATTATCGTATAAGTAACAACGAGACAAACCCATTCTTGCGGTGGAAACTAATTCTTCAATTTTAAATTTGTTATAAACTATTCTTGTAGCGCATTGAATAAACATGTAACAGCTTGAAAATAATAAATAAAATAATATAAAATAATATAAATATAAATAATAATAATAATAATAATAATATAAAATAATATAAAAAATAATATGTAATATATATAATAAAATAATAAATAATAATCGACATTTCTGAATTCTCTCGATGCTCAAATTGTTTAAATTTCAGCCACAAATGCATAAAATCCGCAGGTCCAAGAATCGCATCGATCTTTTTCGATGATTTCGGTCGACGATTTCGTAAAATCGTGGAATTAAGCTTATCGCATCTTGTAGAACCCGCATCGAATTAATTCTGGAAAACAGAATTCGATGCGAATCGAGCGATTTAAATGCCGCTCCTGTCGGAAGCACTCGCGACACGTGTACGAGTTCGGTTCTGTCGCTCGCGAGCAAAGGTGTGCGGCGTCGTTTACGTGCCGCGTGCGCGCGCTCGTATGTGGAACAGTAATTGCGACTGATTAGCGCCGCGAATGGCGGGCTCCAGACCGAACGAAACGATGCAACCGATATCTACGACTGTGCAGATCGATTTCCTGTTTACGACCGCTGGTCGCCGTTCTCTTCCGCTTCTGGAATTCCATCCGGACACCCCGGCTACTCCCAGCGATGGCTCGGAACCTTCCTAGAGTCTGAGCGAATACGAAATACAGCTGGAATAATTCTGGAAGTCCGAACGGTTCGAATCGTTCGCTGGCAAAAATAGGCTGACGCTGAGAATAAAATTAAAAAATGACGAAGAAATGCAACAAGGTTGTTTTAAGATTAGGTTCACGGACAACTGAAAGCAGCTGTTTTATATTAGACTGGGGATTTTATGCGTTCGAACAATTAAACGAATTCTAAAATATCAATATTATAGTATTATTTTCAATTGATAAAATTGCCTATAAATTATTATTATTATTATTGCGAAGTCGAGCAGCTGCGATTCAAAATGGTGGAACGATTAAACGAATACTAAAATATCAATATTATAGTATTATTTTCAATTTATAAAATTGTCTATAAATTATTATTATTATTGCAAAATCGAGCAGCTGCGATACGAAATAGTGGAACGATTAAAAGAATTCTAAAATATCAATATTATAGTATTATATTCAATTCATAAAATTGCCTATAAATTATTATTATTATTGCAAAATATCAATATTATAGTATTATCTTCAATTTATAAAATTATCTATAAATTATTATTATTGCAAAATCGAGCAGCTGCGATACAAAATAGTGGAACGATTAAACGAATTCTAAAGTATCAACATTATAGTATTATCTTCAATTTATACAATTGTCTATAAATTATTATTATTATTGCAAAATCGAGCAGCTGCGATTCTAAATAGCAGGAACGATTAAACGAACTCTGAAGTATCAATGTATCATTCTCAATTTATAAGATTATTATTTATAAATTATCTTCGATAAAGTTATCGTTGTAAAATCATTACAGACGGAAAAAATTTCTCTATTCTGTTTCCAATTTTTGCCATTGGTTCCAAATTCGCCATAAATACATCTTTATAATTTCAATCACAAAATAATGAATATTGAAATGAAAAATATTAAATATTGAAAAATATCGAAAATGCATCATTCTCAATTTATAAGATTATTATTTATAAATTATCTTCGATAAAGTTATCGTTAAAAAAAATCATTACAGACGGAAAAAAATTCTCTATTCAGTTTCCAATTTTTCCCATTGTTTCCAAATTCGCCATAAATACATATTTATAATTTCAATCACAAAATAATGAATATTAAAATGAAAAATATTAAAAATTAAAAAAGAGATCGAAGATTGAATATGCCGTACGTTCCGTAAGCCCAGCGTCGACAAGAATAGCCAGACGATGCGCTCAATGAGATTTATTCACGTGATACTGTACAAATCGATTTGTCCGACGGACTGTTCGTTTTCATATGGCGGTACAAAGAATTTCGATCGGGACATTTAACAAATTCTGCAGCTGCTGGTTATCTCTGGAGGTCGGTCTTGCCACGGAGGTGCTCGTTCTCCGTCGTCCAACAGGAGAAGAAGGACAACGAGATGTTTCCCCATCGTTTCTCGCGAGGTCTGTTCGAATTTGGACTTGGACATCTCTTAGAAAATTAAAAAAAAATAAAATCGAATGTGCGTCCGTGCGTCGCTCCTCCCGAAGAGGATCTCTCGTCGTCTCGAGAATTCTTGGGACAGTGGACGCGCGCCGATTTCGCATCGAACGCCGATTAAGGAACCGGAGAGTATTTTCTCTCTCTTCGACGCGATCAACGAATTTAGCACGAGAGCGCGGCGTCGGGAAAGCGACGAAGATCGCACATAAACACGATCGCGTTCGTCCGACTCGTTACCCCGACCGTCCTCAGGATCGAGAGAGACGAAAAATCGAGACGATGACGGTGGAGAGATTTTTTTTTAGGGCGAGTTTTGATCCCTCGGTCCTGGAGTCGAGAGCGGCCGGACGAGGCGATCAGAATCGTTAACCTAACATCGATCCCGGAGACCGAATATATGATATCTGACAGACCTCGCGAGAAACCTTCCTGTCTCTTCGTTCGCCTAGAAGACAACGCGAATTAAATGAGCATTCGATTAGGGGATGTTGGGCTGTGGAGCCAGTTACTGTGCCTTGTCGATTACCGTGCCTTGCGTTCATTTGCGCAAGCATAATTAACTTTATATAATGTAGTATGAGAGATATCCAGTTTCTTTTTATTTAAATGCGATTCATTATTTGTTTATTTATTTGTTATATGTAAAAGACAGAAGTTCTTGGAACACCGAAAGAATCGTTTCAATTTTTTGACAACAAATCCGCGGAATCTTCTGAGGAGCTTATGAAGTAAAGAATAAGAAGAGGTATACAGTTTTTTCTGTATCTAAATTCAATTAATTGTTTGTTTGTTAGAATTAAACAAATGTAAGAGACAGATGTTCTTGGAACGTCAGAAAAATTGTTTCAATTTTTTGATAGCGAATTCGCGGGATTTTCTGAGGAGCTTATGAAGTAAAGAATAAGAAGAGGTATCCAGTTTTTTTGTATCTAAATTCAATTAATTGTTTGTTTGTTAAAATTAAACATATGTAAAAGACAGAGGTTCTTGGAACGCCAGAAAAACTGTTTCAATTTTTTGATAGCGAATTCACGAGATTTTCTGAAGTGCTTACGAAAGAGCTCGGGGAAGCACGGCACGGTAATCGAGGCACAGTAACTGAAGCACTGTATTCAGATAGGATAGCGTTAAAGGATATGAGGTTTACTGAAAGGAATTTTGGAGGAAACAACCTGGACGAAGGAAATAATAATAGTAATAACAATAATAAGAAGAAGAAGAAGAAAAAGAAAAGAAAAGGAGAGGGAGGGGCAAATTAGTTATCAAATTACAGACTTCTTAAAATTTATATACAGAAACAAAAATGTACAACCCCTTTCATAAGCTGAAAAACGAGTGAATTCTCCTCAATTGTCCATTCTCGTTTGCAAGCTGGGGGACAATTACAAAGAATTAACTGTACATCAGTACCTCGACAAAAAAAAGTCGATTCAAGGGCAAAAACTAACTACAGTAAATTCTGTACCAAACTGATCCACAATTTATAAAAAAAAGTGGACAATTTGAAAATAGGAGGCTCGAATAATCTTATCTCCTCATTCCAAATTGTCAGCGAGCTTTCGTTCACAAGCCGAAGGACAATTGTGGAGAATTTCGCCCAACCCTCAACAGCAAAAACTCCGGAAGTCAGCAAACAGAGCCGAGCGATTATCTCAGCTTGCCCCCTCTCCAAAGTTACAAAATCAGCTATGTCCACCAACCTCTACGATTTCTTCTTCTTCTTCTTGTCCTTCTTGCCCTTCTTCCCCTTCTTCTTGTCCTTGCCCTTCTTCGCTTTATCGTCACACGGCGGCTCTATGGTGCAGACCCGGTCCTGCACGCAGAGGAACGACTTCTTGCAGCAGACGTGCTTCTCCTCGTGCTGGCACGGCGGCATGGCGATGGGCTGCGCGAGCTCCTTGCCGAACACGTAGCAAGGACAATCGCCGGGGTGCAGTTTCGGCGGCGGTGGGCAGGGACAGAGGACGACGGGTTCGGAGGGTGGTTTCGGCAAGGGCGGCGGGACGCAGACCTCGTCCTTGCGGCCTAGCTCCGAGCAGTCCTGCGGATCCTTGGGAGCCTCTGGACAAGGTCTGGGTGCGACGAACTTCGGCTTGGCGCACTTGGCGGGCCCGTAGACCATCTTGGGCGGGGCTGGGACCTCGGGCCTGTAGCACTTGCCGCGGGGGATGCAGGTATCCGGGCAGAGCTCCTTCCTCTTCTTCTTCTTCTTCTTGCTCTTCTTCTTCGGCTTGTCCCCGCAGACCGGAGGCTTCTCGGCGCACTCGCTCTTCTTGTCGCAGGGCTTCGCGCAGTCCTTCTTCGCCTGGTCCTGGCAGATATCGGACGCCGGCTTGCAGGCAGCCGGCTTCTTCGGCCTCGAGGATTTCCCCATCAAGAACGAACCAGCGTGAAAATTCCTTCTAGCGCGAAGATGCCAGACGGATCCGTGGAACGTGGACAGCTTCCGTTTCGCGAAACCCTTGCCGCCCTTTCCGGCCTCGCATTTCGGGCAGGACGGCGCGTCCTTGGGACAAGCGACCCTCTGCGACATCGGCGGGCACGGGGGGCAAGGCTTGGGGCAGGGGCAGGGCGGAGGCGGCTCGGGACACGGGCAGGGGCAGCAGGGGGGCGGAGGAGGGCACGGCGGGGGTTTCGGGCAGGCGGCACAGGGCGGACAGGGTGGACAGACCTTGGGGGGCGGCGGCAGGGGACAGGGCAAGGGCGGAGGGCAGGGGATCGGCGGCGGACACGCGGGGCACGGCGGCGGCGGAGGGCAGCAGGGCGGGGGACACGGGGGAGGACAGGGACACGGCTCGCAGGGCGGCGGCGGTGGACAGACCCTCTGCGGAGGACACTCCGGACAGGTTGGCGGTGGCGGCAGCCTCGGCAGCGGGGGCGGAGGAGGCGGGGGACACGGTTTCGGACACTTGGGCGGCCTGGGCGCCTTGGGGAGCGGCGGAGGAGGCGGCGGGGCAGGGATCACCGGACATTTCGGCAGTCTCGGGGGCCTCGGTGGCGGAGGACACTTCCGGTAGCAGATCTTTGGCGGCGGAGGCTTGGCCGGGGGCGGGGGGCAGGGACAGGGACACGGCGGGGGGCAAGGTAGCTCCGGCTGCGGGCATCCGACGTTCTTCGGCCGCTTGCGGCAGCAGGGTGGAGCGCGGGGTGCGCAGGATCCCGAGCCGGCCGACGTCCTCGAATCCGGCGCGAACTTCGGCGGACCCCTCGGCGAAGGCGGCGGCTTCTTCTCCATGTTGGTCGCGTCGATCCTGAAGAGCCTCCTCTGCCGATCGAGTCCTTTCGGCAGCCAGGCGAGCGGCCGAGCCGCCGCCAAGCTTCCGAAGCTTCTACCGAAGCGCAACGGTCCGGGATCCGGCCGTCGGTCCATAAGGCCCGTCAGCGTGTTCCCGAAGAGCTTCCTCCGTCCAGCGTACTCGCTCAGCTGGTCGGCGAACCGGCCGATCGGGAGATCCGCCGCGCGTCTCCCGGTGGCGAAGCTCCTCGCGGCTCCTCCGAAGATCCGCGATTCCGTCGACGTTCCGATCGGCAACCCTCCGAGCCACGATCCGAGGCAGTGCCGGCTTCTAGATCGACGCCGGTCGGAGAAGAGCATCGAGAACTAGGCAGAACGGATTGCGACGGCTAGAAGAGAGCGGCCGAATCGTCTCGCGCGCGCGCGTTGACCTCCACGTACCCTCTGTCTCCCGAGCGACACCTAACAACACTTTCTCGATTTGCACGGCTTCTTGGCCGGGCACTTCACGCAGAACGGCTTTTTCACCGGCTTCGGCTTCGCCGGGTAGCCCGGCGGACCTAAGGGCTTACAGGGGCCCTTTGGCGGGTGGCAAGGGCTCTTCACCGGCCAGCCCGGCGGATCTTCGCCGCAGTCCGACTCGCCCGGTCGGAACTCTCCTCGTCTGACAGCCTGAACATACGTGGTATTCGGGTTGGGTGTGCGCGCGGCTCTAGTTCAAGGTCGCACCCCCTGGCCCCGCCTCCCTCCTGCGACCCTCTTTTTAGCAAGCTCCGCCGATCGAAACGTGCAACTGTACGATCGCAACCGGCGATCGGACGATGCGTTTGAATTTTTGTTCGATATGCCTTTTTTCTGTTTAATATGATCTTTCTTTTGGGGGGTTGTTTATCGAGAGTCTCCCCTCTCGGGAAGAGTTTAATTACGGAAAGGGGAAACGAACGATCGACGCTCTTCTTCCGTGAATGACCGCCGCCGGCAAGGTTTCGCGTGCCGGTTTCGACTTCGGAAGGCGATCATCGGCGATCATCGATTAATTAGCTCGCCGGTCGAGCAAGCCGCAGCTGCGGCGGCGTCCGCGCGTGCACCGCCGCGAGCATGTCCGTGTCCTCGTCCCGATACGCTCTGTTAGGCGAGTCTATGTTCAGCTGGCCGATGTCGTAGCCGATGTCGTAGCCGATCTCCTCCTCGAAGTCGTCGCCCTGCGGGAAATAGTCGTCGTTCCGCAGCCTGTCGTGCAGCAGCACCGATTCGCGCCGTTGAAATTCTACGAGATCGTTCGGGGCCTGAAGGTCGACGATCGAGCTCGACCGGCGGCGATCGAACGGCGACGCGGTCCCCGATCCGTCGGAGACCCTGCTCGTCGACGTCGCCGACAAAGAGCCCCTGTTGCTCCGGTCCTCGATCACGCGGCGAACGGTCCTCTGCGGGGAGAGAGGATGATCCGACATATTTTCGATCGACTTTTCTTATCGTTCGAGTCTGTGATTTATTTATTTTTTTCTTTTGGTTTCGTTTGCTTTTTTTTTGTTTTTTTTGTCGCTTTCAGATTGTTCGCGGCGTAAACGAAAATTGTGTACTCGGTTGATGAGGAAGAGGCAGAAGGGAGGTGGAGCCACGGGCGACGAGTCGCCTTGGTCGAGCTAATCTCGTGTTTTTTTCCCGAGGTTTCCTTCGTCTTTGCCGAATCTCGACACCACGGAATTAGCGGAAAACGGAAAACCGTTTTCTTTTTTTGTTTCTTTTTCGCGAACTTACTTCGATCTGCTGCGGCTTCCTCGCGGACGCTGCTACCGGCTGCGGCTGAAATTCAAAGCAGACATGCACAGACGCTGGCGGACGTGCTAGGTAAAGGGGTAACCCTGCTGTAACGCGGGTTTCGCTCGCAAAGCCGAATACGATAAATTCTCCCTAATTTCGCGCTCGGATTTTGTACAGAGATAGGCAATTTGGGAAGAGGGGGGATACGATTGTTCGGGCCTTGCGGTTTATTTTTATAGTTATAAATTGTCCACGAGATAAGTTATAATTATAGTTATAATTATAGTTATATTTATAGTTATAATTATAGTTATAGTTATAGTTATAATTATAGTTATATTTATAGTTATAATTATCCACGGGTGACTTCATTAGTTATAGATGCTCGGTGAATTCTAAAAGTAGTGGCACGTGATTATGCGGGCCTTGCGCCTTGTTTTTATAGTTGTCGACAATAGGGGACGATTAAAACGAGCCGCAAGGCTCGCATAATCGTATCCCCCCTCCTCCCAAATTGTTCATTTTTGTGTAAAAGCTGAGCGTCGATTAAGAAGAATTTATTATACAATTTCAATTTCTTTGCCCGACGCGACGACTGGTATGTCAAGGTTTGAATTTTTACGGACGATACGGTAAAGAGATACTGTAAGATAATAGTAATAATAGTAATAATAATAATAATAACAATAACAATAATAATAATAACAAAATATTAGTTCAAAATGTTTGTCTACAGAAGATCATGGGTCCGTCTAGACCCGAGCACGGGGCTTCGCGTGAACACCCAATCGCAGACAGAGCTAGGATTTAACCAGAGCCGGGTAAAATAGTATTTCATATAGCAAATGATGAATAAATAATTTAAAAATCGCTCCTTTATATTTTTGAATTGCGCAGAATCTGCTATTTAAAATATCGTCTCGAATAATTCCCCAAATAAAATATTAAATAAAATAAAATAACAATAAAAATAATAAATTAAGCTATTGAGTCAAATTAATAACAAAATCCAATGTTCCCCATAAACATAAGCCAGCTCCTCGTTAAACCTTCGACACAACTAGAAATGAATCCGCAGAGGCAAGAGACGTCGGTGCGATCACGTTTATTGACGCGGAGACGAAAGTGTCCAGAGACGAAACATATTCTATCCATCTTGTTTCAATTACTCGGTACGAACGAACACAACAATTTAACTGTCGACGACGATCCAGTCGAACGGACGGGACCATCGAGATTCTATCCTAGGCCGTAGCTCGGGCATCGAGGATCGATCTATGATCCACGGGAGCTCGCTCAGCGTGTCCCGAATCGTTTTGTAGGAGGAAATGCTACGCGCGTGGATCCTCGAGTCGGTCGAGAATTTCTTGCCGCCTCCTTTATCGTCGTTCGGGCACCCTGCGGGCGCCCGGAACACCGGCGGGCACGCCTTGTCGTCCTTCTTCTCCTTCTTGATGACGGGAGGGGGCACCTTCTTCTCGGCGGGCTTCTTCTTCTCGGACGGCGTCATCATCTTCTTGCCGCAGGGATCCTGCTTCTTCTTGCCGCAGCGATCTTGCTTCTTCTTGCCGCAGCGATCCTGCTTCTTCTTGCCGCAGGGGTCCTTCTTCTTGCCGCAAGGATCCGGCTTTTTGCCGCAGGGGTCTTCCTTTTTCTTCCCGCAGGGGTCCTCCTTCTTGCCGCAAGGATCCGGCTTCTGGCCGCACGGATCCTTTTTCTTCCCGCAAGGATCCGGTTTTTTACCGCAAGGATCTTCCTTCTTCTTGCCGCAAGGATCGGGCTTTTTGCCGCAAGGATCTTCCTTCTTCTTGCCACAAGGATCGGGCTTTTTGCCGCAAGGATCCGGCTTCTGGCCGCAAGGATCCTTCTTCTTGCCGCCGCAAGGATCGGAGTCCTTCTTGCCGCCGCAAGGCTCTGGCTTCTTTATCCCGCAAGGGTCCGGCTTCTTGTCGCCGCCGCAAGGATCCGGCTTCTCGCCGATGCCGCAAGGATCGTGCTTTTTTCCGCCGCCGCAAGGTTCCGGCTTCTTGTCCCCGCCGCAGGGATCCGACTTCTTGCCGCACTTCGCGTTCCCGCAGGCGGTGCTCTTCTTCTCCTTGCACCGCTTCCCGTAGAGCTCCTCCTTCCACAGCTTCTCCAGAGGATCCTCGGGCCCGAACGAGTCCTCGAAGTCCCTGCACCGTTTCCCGTACAACTTCTCGTCCCGGATCCCCTTGCAGGGATCCTCGGCCGCCTTGCAGTCCTTCCCGTACAGCTCCTCCTTCTTGAACTTCTTGCACGCGTCGCCTGTTTGACCGCATTCCGCCTCGAGCTTCTTGCAAGGCTCGCCGTATAGACCGCTCTTCGTCTTCCCGCCGCAACTTCCCACCGTCCCACCGTCCCCGCCGGCCTTCTTCAGCTCGGTCCTCTTGCCCCCGTCCTCCCTCTTCTTCTCTATCCCGGCGATCTTCGGCCAGTTCGACTTCGCGGCGCCGCTCTTCGACGAGAAACGAACCGATCCGAGCCGGTCGCAGATCGGCGCGGCGGCCTCGCCGGCGAACAACGAGTCCAGATGGTACGATGTCAAGCTGCTCAGGGAGCAGGACCGCCGCCTGTTGATACTCAGGTTCTCGAGGAACAGCGCCAGCTTCGAGGAGACGGTTCCGAGCGGTCTCGACGGCCCGCTCAGCTCGCTGACCGTCTCGATGCTCGAGCTCGGCGCGGCCGTTCTGCTCGCGCTGCCGAAATCCTCGATCGCAGAGACGTCGATCGTTTCCTCCGGCTTCTCCGCAACGTTCGTAATCCCTTCCGCCTTCGGGACGTCGAGTCCCGCGGCATAGTCGCCCGTCAGATCCGTCACGGAAGTGGAGATCTCCTGTCTGCCGCATCCGGCCTTCGCCGGCGAGTCTCGCCCGACCTCCGTCGAATCCCGCGTCGGACCGAGCTTCTTGCCTCTGGTCGGCTGCTTGAAATTCGGCGAGTCGTTCGGCGCGTCGTTCTTCCGGCTCTGGAAGAGATCGGAGAAGAACCAGGCGATCGGCGCGCGTCTCTGCTGCACCAAACCGTACAGCAGCTTCGGCTTTTTGTCCGAAAGCGCGGCAGGTATCGTCCAGTTCCGCGATTTCCCGCGCTTCTTGGTGCTCGAGGAAGCTTCCACTGGTCCTCTGGCTTCTTTCGGCTTCCTGGATCGCGGTCCCCTCTTGTCGATCGCGGCGCGATCCTCCGCGTCGGTCGGAGCACGCTTTTCCGCGGCGGTCAGAACGGCCGCGTTGCTCGGCTTCCTCTCGTCCTTGCGTCGCTTCCGGTCGGATTTCTCGCTCGTTCTTGCGACCCGCTGAACCGTCGAGACGGTCCCGTCGAGATCGACGGTGTCCTGCTTCCGGGGGCCCGTCGCGGGCCGCGCCGCGTTCCCCGACAACGCGAGCGTCGACAGCTGCCGCAGCGCCGGCCGGCTGCCGCCGCGTTTCGCGCGGTCGCGGCCAAGCCGGTCCGCGAGCTCCGGCAGCTGCTTATAGATCTCGGTGACGATCCGACCGTCCTGCCGGATCGTTTCGGGCCCCATCTCGCCGAGGACCCGGGGACCCCGCAGCTCGCCGGCCACGCACGCGCTGCCCCCCTGAGGACAGACGGAGAGACGATTTCAAGGTCAGTGCGATATCCTCGGAGAAAAGGCTTCGTGCCTCTGGCAGAAAGCGTCCGATCGAACGCAACGTTGTCGCGTCGGTTTCGTCGCGTCGAGGCGAGATGTATTCTCTGTTTAACGACGTCGCTTCGAGCCGATTTTATGCTTCACGTTTTATGTGTCCGGTAATTACGGTCCGTCCGGGAAATGAGAGATTCCTGAGGTCATTCGAAGCAACTTTTTCCTTTACGAAAATTTTCTACGAGCTCTCGTTCGCGAGTTATCGGCGAAGAAAGACTGGCCAATGAGTGGCGAGCTCGGTCGACGCGTGGCGGCCGAGCCAACGAGCGCGCGGGGGCCGGTTCCGCCGATTGGCTCGGCCACCTGGCGCCAGGCGTGGCGCCTGGCCAGTTCGCCTCTCATTGGTCACCGTTTTTCGTTGATAACTCGTGAACGGAGCCGCGGATCGCACTTTCGCTGAGGAAAAAGTTGCTGCGAATCGCCTCAGGAATCATCTCGTTCCGGGTATTAACGTAATCACGGGACATCCTGTATATTTTATTCGTAAAATAAATGAAATCGAAATATCTCAAATAACCTTGAATTTGTCCAGAATCGTCACGTGACCGCGCAATGATTTTTCCATTCGCCAAAAGAGAAGCAGCATCACGAGCGCTTCGCGCAATTCGTCTAGTCTCGCGACAGGATTTGTTTTCCGGTTTCGACGAAGACTCGAGCAGCTCCGTGGTTCGACGATCTAATTCCCGACCTTGATCGGATAGTTTCTGCCAGGGGCGGTAGAAGACGATAGGAACTCGAAACGGAAGGCTCTGTCATTCTGTTCGTCGGGGATCGACGCATCGACGTCGAAAGCCGCGGTCCTCGCCGAGGAATCGTTTCTCGAGTATCATTGTTCGAGAATCACGCGAGCTTCGATGCGTCGACCGCGTTTTGTCTCTTTCGTCGCCCCTCCCCTCCGTCGTCTCTCGTCTTGCGTTACCTCCGGGGGTGAAAAAAAAAGGATATTTGAGCCGTTTATTTTGAAAGTGGCATGTCACTTCACCGTAATGAAAAGTGGTGATTTTTTAATGTTTATACGATATTATTTATACTGAGAAAAATATCAGTATCCTGAGATAACAAATACAAGTAAATCTTCTCGAAAGTTAGCATCCATATTTTTAAACGTGTTAAAATGTTATTGATTTTATATAATATATATATATATAATATAATATAAAATATAATATATGTTATAATAATATAATATAATAATATAATATATATATATTATATTATTATTATATAATATAATATAATATATATATATTATATAATATAAATAAATGTTATAAACGTGTTAAATATATCGACTTAAAAACAAAGTGACTTATGCCACTTTCGAAATAAACGGCTCATTTCGAGAGGACCCGCGCGACCCTCGAACGTGATCGGGATGCGCGCCAGCGTGGACGAGTCGAGGCCCCCGACGACCTTATCCGTCGCGCCCTCCGACCCTTTAGGGATCGAAATGTTCGCAGAACTCTTTCCGGTAGATTCCGTTTAACACTGGCTCTACGGAGAATCGCGTTCGCCCGTTACCGATCGTCGAAATTGTAAGAACGGGGAACTCGTTCGACGATTGATTGAACACGTGTGTCGCAATAAAAACCGCTGCGAGAGATCCGAATAAATATATTGAATATTTATTTTTCTGTTTTCAGGAGCAGACGATTCAACGCTGTTCTCTTGATTTATTCGTTCTATTCTCTTTGTGCTCGATCAACGCGTCGAGCGCCGCGTCGGTCGCACATCGGCGACGCTAATTTTTGAGCAAACGTGGAAAATTCATTCTCATGCTTTAATTACGTTCGAACAAACCGAATTCGACTAGGATATTTCGGATGCGAAATTGTTCGAATGCGCATCCCTATCCTCTTCCTCATCCCGTCGCCGTCGACCTGTCGCGAACTCTCGCGCGAAACGCGAAACGATCGACCGGTTTTCGACCCTCGCGGAACGATTCCCGGGACGATCGACGGCGCGATAAGCTCTGTGTTCCGTTCGATCGATCGTAGATTGGATCACTTACCTGCGACACGATCGCCGACGATTTGCTCGGAAGATCCGCCGCGGCCTCCTCTGCGATCGGGAGTCGGCGTAGAACCTCGACCAGCTCGTCGGTTTCGTTCTGTTCGAGGAGAAATTCCGAGTTGTAAACTATCGTTAGAACGCGGAGGAATTTTCTGGGACACTTACCCTGGCGGTGTTCGACGGGCCGGTAGTCAAATAGTCGATCGGTTCTCTGATCGGCTGGTATTTAGGCAACGTCCTTGTATTCTCCAGCATGGTCAGCATCCAAGAGTTCTAAGAGGTAATCGCGTAATGTACGGTAATTTCCCTCGGAAATGCCGAATTTCGGGTTGCCGTGAATTTCCCTGTGCCTAGTGCTAAGTCTGCGCGAGATTTATTGCTACGCGAATTCTCGAAAGACGGCGCGAAATGATCCGTTTGGGTGTGAAGGCAGGTATGAAAAAGTGCGGAGCTAAGAGGTAATGACTAATCTCTGTGGAAACGTGGCATGTGGCCTTCGAATTGCCTTCGAATTGTGGCATGTGGCACCTGAATTGCCTTCGAATTGTGGCATGTGGCACCTGAATTGCATTCGAATCGTGTCACGAGGCCCCAAATTGCCTTCGAATCGTGTCACAAGGCCTCGAATTACCTTCGAATCTTGTCACAAGGCCCCGAATTGCCTTCGAATCCTGTCACAAGGCCCCGAATTGCCTTCGAATCTTGTCACAAGGCCCCGAATTGCCTTTGAATCCTGTCACAAGGCCCCGAATTGCCTTCGAATCCTGTCACAAGGTCCCGAATTGCCTACAAATAGTATCACGAGGCCCCGAATTGCCTTCGAATCCTGTCACGAGACCCCGAATTGCCTAAAAATCGTGTCACGAGGCCCCGAATTACCTTGGAATCGTCTTACGAAGCCCTGAATTGCTTTCGAATCGACTCACAAGGCCCCGAATTTCCTTCAAATCGTGTCACAAGGCCCCGAATTACCTTCGAATCGTGTCACAAGGACCCGAATTGCCTTCGAATCGTGTTACATGGCCCCGAATTACCTTCGAATCGTCTCACGAGGCCCCGAATTGCCTTCAAATAGTGACACAAGGCCCCGAATTGCCTTCGAATCGTGTCACGTGGCCTTCGAATTGCCTTCGAATCGTGACAAAAAATTAGGAATAAAAAACTTAATTCACCCCTTTTTTCCTAGCATCTTTTTCTGCCTTTTTTGTGCGGTCCGCCCCGAATTTCGCTAAAAATCTTACCACGAGGCCCGAAGAATCGCGACTTGGTATTCTCGGATCTGCCGGTTTCAATTCGAACATCCCCCAACATTTCCGGGAGATATTACCACATAACGCGCGAACAATAACGGGATAAAATGATTCGAAGAGATCTTACGATGTGTTTCGGTGGCTCGGCTTCGGGAACGGTGTGAAATCTGATCGGGAGTCGTTTGCTCGAGGAGGCCGCGTTGTACAAAGAGATCGGGTCGAGCCTCGAGGTCTGTTTCATCATCTGCGACAGAGATCGGCCGATTTCGCCTGCGCCGCCCATCAACGTCACCTGTGCGACGAACAACCGTGGAATTTTCGTTTTGCGAGACGATTCGGGTGGGTCGATTTGGGAGTCGAGAGGGGCCCCGGCGATCGGTCAAGGATTAGAAAATCCATTGGGAACGGAAACGAGAACGCACCTTAATGTTTTCTTCGCCTGCGTGATATTTCCGCTGGCCGATGGTCTTCACGATGGATTTCGCGGTCCGGGAAAACATTGTTGACGCTGTTGCTGGATTACTAGGAATTTGTTAACGCCTTCATCGGGCGCCCGACATGTCCAAACTGTGACGTTGAACCGCCGTCGTTACCAAGCAAAGGCTTGCGCAAATGTTTTGCCCCGAGCGCATTGTGCGCTGGAAAAAATAACGAAACATCGGCACGTATATGTATTGTATATATATTTACACGTATAAATATATATACATATATATATATATATTATTTATTAATATATATTACTTTATTATTATTCATTATTATTATTAATTTATTATTATTATTATTATTATTATTATTATTATTATTATTATTATATTTATTAATATATATATATTACTATATATATTATATACTACTATATATATATTTATATTATTATATTATTATTATTATATTATAATATTATATATATTATATATATATAAATTTACTATTTATTAATTTTGTATAAAAATTATAATAAACATATTAATATATAATAATAATATATTAAATTATAATATATTGTCCGGAGACCGAACGATCCGAAAGATAAAATTACGTGTTTCGTCGAATTTGTTTTCTTATGCTACGAGAACACTCGTAAAAAATGTATCGGGTCCCATTTGAAATGAAGAAATAATTCATAAAACGATTCCTCGAGTTATTCGGAAGAGAAAGCTTATTAATCGTCGACGATAAAGAAAATAGCGTTAAATCGTTGGCTGCTCCTGAAAATAAAAAAATAGCGCCATTTACGATAAGTGGCGCCGCTTGCGGCGATAAATCGAACTAAGTTAGAGGTCCGTACAGCGCCAAAACACGCAGTGACAAAACGCTCAAACTGTTCGCCGAAATTACCGACTGATGACAACTCTGAGCGCACCGCAGATGGCGCCACCGCATTAAACCCTCGACAATCTGAATTTAGCGCCGTTACGCGTAGCGGCGAAACGCTCAAGCCGTTCGTCAAAGTTATCCACAGATGACGATTCAAGAGGTTCGGTATCTAGACGCAGATGGCGACTCCGTGTTGAACCCATAGAATCTTTTAATTTAACAATTTAATTGTAAAATTCGTACGCTATGATTATTTTACATTTTTATCGCAGTGAATTCTGACGATGCGGTAATGACTTTGATATCTCGTCTGTGGTGATATGACATTGTGATGTATTTTTTGCCTCATGGAACAATTGTGATCCAGTTTCTCATTTTCTAACGAATAATAATAGCGCTATAAGAAAAACAGTTGTGATCCAGTTCCTCATTTTCTAACGAATAATAATAGTGCTAATAAGAAATAGCGAGAATAGGAAATGTGAGATTGGATAAGATCAAAAGAAGTTGTTAATGCGTGCAGTTTCCATTGCAAATTAGTAGCAGAATTCTATCAATAGCCATTGCCATATCGATAGCGTGTACTGTCGATAGTACATTATTTATTTCCATTTGTAATACTGGACACGAGCAGTCACGTGTTGTGCAGTCACGTGGTGATTACTGTGTCCTGAGAGTTCCGAATACAAAGTTTATACAAATTTACAAAATGGCATCTACGTCGCAAAGTGAATTTGAAAGTCAAAAAGTTTTAGGAGATAATACAGAGGATCTATATGGCATTCGAGATGGTGTATTATTTGTAATTGATTCAACTCCTGCGATGTTCGAAATAGACCCGCAGGAGCAGATTCCTTATTTCTTACAATGCATACGGCGATACAAGGAGATCCTTATGCAGAAATTGGTATGGAACAATCAAGATTGGATGGGTTTAATACTGTTTGGAACTACGAAAGGGGATGAAAATTCCGAAATGAAGAACATATTGACTCTGCAGAAACTCAATCTTGTTTCGATAGGAGCATTGAAGCAAATAGTAGAGATAGATGAAGGAAACGGATGGAAAAGGTACAGGGACAGTGCCTCCACTACTGCTTACCCACTGCACGATGTATTATGGCACGCGTCAAGAATTTATTGCGCTGTTAGAGTAACCATGCCGGCAAGGAGAGTAATTCTCTTTACGTGTACGGATAATCCACCGTTGACCAACGACGATGAAAAACGTAGAATAGTTGTAGAAGCAAAAAGTTACGGCGATATAGGACTTCATTTACATGTTGTTGGATTGGGTGAAAATTGGGATCACAATGTTTTCTACAGAGATTTAGAAATATTGTCTGAGAAAATTGATAGCGAAGATTATAAGAGACCATCCATAAACGATCTATTGCAACAAATCAAATTACCATCCAGAACAATGGCAAAGTTACCGTGGAGAATCGGAGGTAACGTGGTTCTAGATGTAAATGTAACCAACCTTAACGTTAAACGACAATACTTGAAGAAAACATGGATATCTAAAGAAACGAATGTTCCATTAATCGCGCGTAGATTTAGGATGACCGAAGAGAGTGACGACGAAGACGGCGAACCTAAGAAATTGAACTATGTTTTAGATACGGATCTACGAAAGTATAAAGTATTCGGTGGTAAAAAGATATATTTTACTATACCCGAAAAGATGTATTTAGGCAATTTTTATCAATCTGGCATTGATTTGATTTGTCTTAAACCTATCTTTTATCACCCTCTATATCATTGTAGATCACCGTATTTAGTTACACCTGGTAAAAGTAATCGTAAAGATAATACATTATTATTTGCTGCATTGCTTGAAAAATGTAATTCAAGAAATTTAATGGCAATATGTGCAGTTACAATGAGAAAACATTCTTCTCCAATTTTATACAGTATGATACCAAAAGCAGAGAGTGGAGGATTTTATTTATACAAAATACCGTACAAGGAACGTATTCGAAATCTTGAAAAGATGTGTTCAAAGTACATGTACAACGATGATGAAAATAAAATTCCAACTGAACCAGAAGAAGTTCAACTATTAAGAAAGATAATAAGAAAATTAAGGGCTCAATATAATCCATCACTGATTCCTAATCCTAAACTTCAAACTCAACTTCAAATGGTGGAGACTTTAGCCTTAGATTTGGAAGAATCAAAGCCTCCAATTGATGAGACTATGCCAATAATTAACCAAGTTGCTTATCGAATAAAGGATTTGACAATTCAATTTAAAGAGTTATTTAAGATTGAGGAAGGTCCGCCAAAAAAGAAACCAAAAACAGATGTCGACCCGAATGCATACGATGAAGAATCAATTCGGAAGTTTGTAAAAACAAAAAAGTTAAGCAATTTTACCGTACCAGAATTGAAAGCAATGTCGAAGAAATTAGGTTTAAAAACCTCTGGTAAGAAAGGCGATTTAATCGAGGGAATTAAAAGTAAAATAAAATCCAAAGAATATTAACAATCTGTTAAAATTAATATTTGTTCTCAACATTTAGCGGCACTATTTTTATACTTTACCTGGCTACGTTGCACATTATGAAGAAAACTGTACAAATTGTATTACTTATTTCTAACAATAAATAAAGTTTTGTCCATTGTGTGTATACATACAATGAATACAGAAAATTTTCCTGGGCATTTCTATCAAACTGGTTGATCGAATGATCAGTCTTTTCTCCCATTAGACCAAATTCCTGCCATCGGAATTATCACATCTTCATTTCGATCAACTTCAAACAGGTGAGGAGAATGCTTTGAAATTAATGCATAATACACGGTATAAATCTTACGGACAATTTATTTACAATGATTGATAAGTCCGCATGTAGAAAAATAAAAAGTGGTGTAAGATTGTCTAAAAGTATCTTAAAGGTATCCTCGTGCTAACGTTCGGTTTTGATAGCATGCTCGCTGGTCATCAAATGATATGAGTTATTTAAAAAAAACAAATACTGGTGGTCATTTCCATGGGACTGGTTCCAGCAGCCACTGCTGCTCAACGGTTTTTGCACAGTCTGCTATCACAGGACCTCCGTCGTCACTCGCTTGTAAACACATATCCGAAGGGATATGTAAAAATGTTTTTGTCTGAGGATAAAGTTTCGCTCGTCATTCACATAAATATATTTGATGCTTCCCCTCCATTCTTAACTCGGCTTACCTGTTCGTCATACCGCCACTTTTGCCGTTTGCTGCCGCTGCATGCCATTATCTTAACCTTTGGTGTCTTGTGCTGCGTGTCGTGCTCAGGAGCGTCCAAGCAAACGCTCTCATCGGTCATCACGACCCCTCTTTCCGTCATCACAAACATTTGACTAAGTATCGGCCTAGGAACGCAGCCCTCTAAGACCGGGTAACCGGAGGGCTGTGAGTAAGTGCCTTTCGTGGTCGGTCGCATAATGCATTTTTTTGTAGAGAGATGCACGATCTATGAATGAAGTGAGTAAGCACGCTACAACAAGCAAACCTTTGGAACAATTTCAAAGAATCCTACCCGTCCAAAGAATCGATCGTCCTTTGGGAAAAAATGTTCTGGCCACACGTTGTCCAGATACCACTCGAAACTTTTGCATTGCAACGTCTTGCGCAGCGCTAACCGAGATCTAACCGGCTGCTTGTCCCTTAATCTGGCTGCCTCTGAAAGAAAACAGAAGTTCAAAAAACGGATCACGATTAGTATTAACACTCAGCCAACCGAACGGGGAGATCTGCCCGTTTTAAATTCAGTCGATTGACGACCGAATGGATGATTAATGAAAAATTGAAAATGATTGCTTAATTTCATTAAGATTTGCAAGAGGTACGAATGCTGAAGAAGTAATCGATGCCATATAAGTTTGCTTCATAATTTTTGTTTAATCGAATGAAATATTTTAATTTTATGAAAATTTTTGAGGTTTCTAGCGCAGTCGTGGAAGTGTTAATTGCGAGCTAGTTACCTGGATTGAATTTGAAGTAAAACTCAGCCCAATCGTCCATCCAGACCAAAGCCACTCGGGCAAGATTCCCGTACAGAATTTCTCCCACTCCTCCGGGGAACGTGTACGGGGATGATTTCCGAAACAGGTGTCCTACGTGAGAGCAAGGCGCNCAAACTGGTTGATCGAATGATCAGTCTTTTCTCCCATTAGACCAAATTCCTGCCATCGGAATTATCACATCTTCATTTCGATCAACTTCAAACAGGTGAGGAGAATGCTTTGAAATTAATGCATAATACACGGTATAAATCTTACGGACAATTTATTTACAATGATTGATAAGTCCGCATGTAGAAAAATAAAAAGTGGTGTAAGATTGTCTAAAAGTATCTTAAAGGTATCCTCGTGCTAACGTTCGGTTTTGATAGCATGCTCGCTGGTCATCAAATGATATGAGTTATTTAAAAAAAACAAATACTGGTGGTCATTTCCATGGGACTGGTTCCAGCAGCCACTGCTGCTCAACGGTTTTTGCACAGTCTGCTATCACAGGACCTCCGTCGTCACTCGCTTGTAAACACATATCCGAAGGGATATGTAAAAATGTTTTTGTCTGAGGATAAAGTTTCGCTCGTCATTCACATAAATATATTTGATGCTTCCCCTCCATTCTTAACTCGGCTTACCTGTTCGTCATACCGCCACTTTTGCCGTTTGCTGCCGCTGCATGCCATTATCTTAACCTTTGGTGTCTTGTGCTGCGTGTCGTGCTCAGGAGCGTCCAAGCAAACGCTCTCATCGGTCATCACGACCCCTCTTTCCGTCATCACAAACATTTGACTAAGTATCGGCCTAGGAACGCAGCCCTCTAAGACCGGGTAACCGGAGGGCTGTGAGTAAGTGCCTTTCGTGGTCGGTCGCATAATGCATTTTTTTGTAGAGAGATGCACGATCTATGAATGAAGTGAGTAAGCACGCTACAACAAGCAAACCTTTGGAACAATTTCAAAGAATCCTACCCGTCCAAAGAATCGATCGTCCTTTGGGAAAAAATGTTCTGGCCACACGTTGTCCAGATACCACTCGAAACTTTTGCATTGCAACGTCTTGCGCAGCGCTAACCGAGATCTAACCGGCTGCTTGTCCCTTAATCTGGCTGCCTCTGAAAGAAAACAGAAGTTCAAAAAACGGATCACGATTAGTATTAACACTCAGCCAACCGAACGGGGAGATCTGCCCGTTTTAAATTCAGTCGATTGACGACCGAATGGATGATTAATGAAAAATTGAAAATGATTGCTTAATTTCATTAAGATTTGCAAGAGGTACGAATGCTGAAGAAGTAATCGATGCCATATAAGTTTGCTTCATAATTTTTGTTTAATCGAATGAAATATTTTAATTTTATGAAAATTTTTGAGGTTTCTAGCGCAGTCGTGGAAGTGTTAATTGCGAGCTAGTTACCTGGATTGAATTTGAAGTAAAACTCAGCCCAATCGTCCATCCAGACCAAAGCCACTCGGGCAAGATTCCCGTACAGAATTTCTCCCACTCCTCCGGGGAACGTGTACGGGGATGATTTCCGAAACAGGTGTCCTACGTGAGAGCAAGGCGCGATTTCAACGCTGCCTCCGCACTGCCACACCCTGAACGATAACTCCAAATTCTCTCCGCCCCAAATTCTCATTTGTTCGTCGTAGCTACCCAGCTCGAAAAAATAGTCTCTGTTCATGGAGAACAATCCTCCGGCCATAGCCGGAGTTCGAAATGGCTCGACGATGTTTTCGCGTCTCTCTTTCAACAGTCTGCCATTCAATGTTAACCAGCGGAAGTGCAAATCCCAGTTGAATGCACCCCAGTGCAGTTCCAAAGATCTAAAATAAAATATTATATATATTATATAATATTATATATTTAAATAATCTCATTTAATACCGAGGCAGGCATAAATAGATATCTAAGCCTATTTTACCGAGTGTAGCTAAAGGTGTCGTCGTTGATTATGTCGATAACCGGAGACACAACTCTGGTTCTATTTTTAGCCACGGCTTCGAGCAACGGTTCTAACCATCCTGGAACAGATTCGAATAAATTATAATCTCTAGCGACCGATTTATTGTAACTGAATGCGTTACCCAGTTCTGCTAGGGAAAAGAGCTCACCTACCAACCGTGCATTCGCAATGCGCGTCGAGGAATGTGAGAACTTCGCCTACGGCTTCGTTAGCGCCCATTAATCTCGCATTCACTAAACCTATGCGTTTCCTGGAACGAAGAACTTTAGTGGTCACTTGTAAATTCTTTACATGTTCGTCTAGAGGAGCCTTCAAAAAATCTAATGGGGACAAATGAAAACAAAAGATTTAGCGCAGGTGTCGTGACCGATGAAAGAGAATAAATGTCAAATTCCGACGCAACCCTTATCCGGCTTTACCTCTGTCGCTGTTATCGTCGACGAGGATGATCTCCTCCAGCAAATGTCTGGGCGATCTATCGATCACGCTGTATACAGTTCTCAGCAGCGTACTCCACGCTTCATTGTGCAAAACAATGATCACCGACGTTCTCGGCAAGTTCTCCAATTTTGAATATCGCGCGACGCACCTGCAATCGTTCAATTACCGACCTCTCCAATATTACCGACAATGAAATCACCAGTATTACCCCTTTCGCCTAACGTCCGGTAGAGTGCGATTCAACGGTATTCTGTCGCTGGCCATCAAATTGAATCGATTGATTTGATAGAGCTGCTGCATTTGATAAAAATCCTTCGCTGGGATTAAAACCGGGCTGCCATTTTTGCCCTCGGAAGGCCGTGGATCGAACATGTTCTTGTTGATGAGATCTAAAAAGTGAAAGGTCTCTTGTAACAACGGGACGAGACGGGACTATCGTTTCTTGAGTACCTTTCGTAATGTTCGGAGTTTTCAAAGGATCAACGGAGTCGCCGATATAATGGCCCACGACCACACGTATACCCCTACGATCTATATAATCCTTTTGATTCTCCATAAGCCTGAAATTTAGAGAAAATTTAAAAACGTTAATTTAAAAACGTTATCGAAGGGAAACACGAAGATTTCCCGTATCTAGGGTCCCTGAGTCGGCCACCATTGACCCCGAAAAGGGTTATCATCAATTATCCAGGATTTAAGTAATTTTTATCATGTTAGGTGCATTCTCGTGCTGTTCAATGTATCGTAAAATTTTCGCGTGGAAACAGAGTTGAGAATCGCTGGTCGAAAGCAACAGGTGATTACACCAAATTACATTCGTAGCTTCGCAAAGAGACGTAGTAGAAGGGTTTGGATGGCATCTAACATTCGAAAGTAAATGATATTTTTTTTTGGAAGTATCTAACGCTTATTTTATCTCCGTAGATCGCTTACCGCATCGCCGTGTAGTCGCTGCGGTCTTCGGACTGCCGTGTTTTGCTCAACCAAACCAGAAATATTCCCGCAAGCAAGGCGACCGAGAGAATAATCGGCCACGTGCGAAACAGTCTTCTCAATCTTGGCCACATCGTGAATCTCGTCGGAAGAAAACTGTCTTCGGCTTAACTGATTTTTTCGAACGGACCGGTTTTATCTCATTGCGGAATTATTAACTGATATCGTCAACCCCGGACATCCACTATCACGAGCTTCCCACGACGGGTCATCGTGAGAAAGGACAGAGAGCCTTGGTAGCTACCTTGAACTGAAAGAAATTTCAGAAGCTTCAATTAATACCGACGATTTCGTCAGTCTCTAGGCTCGTAACACTAACAAGTAAATAACCGTTGATCAACGCGTCACGTATTTGATATTTAATATTAGATTATAATATTACGTTTAAAATAACAAGGTAATTTATGCGCATAACATACCTTTATGTCTGTTCAAAGTACATCCAGGATCTTATCCAAGATACACTGCAAAAGTTTCCGAATCCACTTTTGAACGATCGCGGAAAGTCACAGTTGAAGAAGTTCTGTCATTATTTTTACATAGCGAACGGAATTTGATTCGCAAATGATATTATTATTATTAATGGAAAAGCATAGCCGTTGACTTGCACCGATTCAACGACTGGAATAAGCTGAATGAGCTTCAAGGAATCGCTAGGACTTAGGACGCCGTGAATAAAACAGTGCTGTAGCAAGACGATCCGAAGCCCGATTCTTTTCATTAAATGGAAAGAGAAATTACACGATTTCCTTTTGCCAATTTTACCGTCTACGTATATGAACCTCGATAACAGGTTTCGTTAAAATGATAAAAGATGCATATAGTATTTCGTGGTCGGGCCAGTATATTTCCGACAGTGACAATAACCTCAACCACAATTGTGGAAGAGAAAATATCCGTAAAAGCCAACGTTAACAACTCGCTTTGTGCATTTCACATTCTTGAGCACGAGCCACCACTTTTTCATGTGGGTGGTGAAATATGCATAAGATTAAAAAAAAATCTACCTGCACACATTCTCATTTTCGCGTGATGTAACAATGAATATACGGATCAAAACAATGATTATGCAAACGCTCACCTAAATGTATTTAGTGTATTACTCATGCATATGTATGTACAGTGTTACAGTTTTTGTAAGGTTTAGTTGACGTTGTCAAATCGTTGATTGACTTCTACATTTAAAGAAACATCGCGGTACAGTCTGCTCGAAAAGAGTACAGTTCGCCTCGAGTGTTGCAACGTTATAGAATAATTGTTTGTTCGTTGTACATTTGCTGAACAGTTTAAAGTTAATCTGGAGACTTGTGTGATTGTGTAAACAGTTGCTCTGTTTGATTGTTGTCCTGCATGGATAAGGATGCATTTAATAGGAACGGTCGAACCGAGTGGACTGTATTAATGGACCACAGATACTGAAGAGGTCAGCACTATTCCCAACGTACGGTTCGCCACGTTGGAAGAAGTTGACGGGTGACCACTACTCTTTTGACATTAGGGATTCGTTTGCACAAATTTCGTTCGATTATTATTAATTGACTGCACTAAGGTGAGAGAGCGTTGCGCGAACGAATAACTCATTCTCCGCTTCGTTTAGAACGAAACCAACAGTGTATACGTATAACACGTGTTAGGATTTGATAGTGCTGGGTCGGTGAACCTTCGAATCCGAGTGCAACACATTTGTAATACTATCGTTCATATTTATATAGTTTGTATTGTATCGCGGTTATCAATTCAGAGTTTACGTTACAGTAGACGCTTATGTAAACACACTATCGCTTATGGAAAGTAAGCATGTTACATTTACAAATGCAACGCAATGTTGGAATGGACTGATTATAAGTTATAGTACTGTTAATTATTTAATTTATTCTTTATAAGAAGAAATAAAAATTATTTGTGGTGTAGAGTTACAAGGATGAAGGTAAAGGAGTTGCTCAAGACTGTCAACGTAGCATGGTCACCGCCGGCTCAATATCCTATACTGCTGGCTGCTGGTACCGCAGCCCAACAACTCGATGCAAGTTTTAATACCTCCGCCAGCTTGGATTTGTATTCGTTGAATTTACAGCAACCAGGATATGATCTGGAATTGAAATCCAGTGTTGCGAGCGATCATAGGTTGATAATTGTCTTCTTTACATATAAAAAAGTATTATCGCGCTGCAAAGTTGTTACTGTTCACATGAATTTTTTAGATTCCATAAAATAATATGGGGCTCTTATGGAACCAATCCTGCTGGAATAATTGTTGGCGGCTGCGATTATGGAATGATAAAGATTTATTCTGCGGCCAGATTATTGGCAAACGATAATAATTGTTTACTCAGCAGTCCAGACAGACATACGGGCCCAGTCAGAGCCCTAGACTTCAACCCTTTCCAAGCAAATTTATTAGCGACTGGAGCAACGGAAAGTGAAATTTATATTTGGGATATCGTTAATACAGCTACTCCAATGACTCCCGGATCCAGGAGTCAGCCATTAGAGGATGTACAACATATTGCATGGAATAAGCAAGTACAACACATTCTTGCATCCACATTTTCACAACGATGCGTCATATGGGACTTAAGAAAAAATGAGCCCATAATCAAGTTGACAGATGCAAACTCAAGAGTAATTTCATATACATTTTGGCATGTTCATTCCTTTAGTACTATTGTTTTAACATTTTTAATTTTATGAATATTAGGTACGATGGAAAGTAGTTCAATGGCATCCGGATGTAGCGACACAATTATGCCTGGCATCAGAGGATGATCAAGCTCCCATAATTGAGTTATGGGATTTAAGATTCGCAACGTCCCCGCTAAAAACACTCCAAAATCACCAACGTGGTGTTTTATCGATCGCGTGGAATCCGCACGATCCAGACTTGCTTTTAAGCTGTGCCAAAGATAATAGAATATTATGCTGGAATCCTAACTCGGAGGCACCAGTAAGTTGTGATAGCATATCTGCATTATTCAAACAAATTCATTCAATTCATTTCGCTTATTTCCACGCAGAACGGTGAAGTGATATGCGAACTAGCACAAACAAATCAGTGGAATTTCGATGTTTCATGGTGTCCGAGGCATCCAGGATTAGTTGTGGGAACTAGTTTTGATGGACACGCAGCAGTTTACTCTTTGTTGGGTGGACAACAACAAATGGCTACCGAAACGTCTAACAAAATAGTAGATTCTTTCCCTGGAATGGATCCTTTTACACAGCCTCCTCCTACAATGCAATCGGAACCAGCGGTCACATTAACAAAAGCTCCTAAATGGTTAAAAAAACCATTCGGGGCTTCTTTCGGTGTAAGCACTTCTTTCTTTACTGTACTAAATAATCCATGCATGCACGGTACGTTATGTCGTACAAAATAAAAAGAAAAACAACTTTTTAGTTTGGCGGTAAATTGACAATATTTGAGAATCAACCTGCAGATCCCAATATGCCTGCGAGTGCAAGCAGAACGGTAATTTTGTCGCAAGTGATCACGCAACCGGAACTAATCCAACGTTCTAACGAATTGGAAGAAGTACTCAAAACTGAGCAATACAATGAATACTGTAAAGGAAAGGCTGAGAAAATGACTGATGTACATAGAAAAAAGATATGGAACTGTGTGGGAGCGTATTTCGGGGAAAACGTGACGAAAGAAATATTGGAGTTGCTGGGATATAATGTAGAAGCAATGAACAATAAACTGAATCAATTCATTCCTCAAGAGGATGTCAACAGTATTACAGAGGGAGTTGACAATCTGAATAATGTAAGGTTCATATTGATGCTATTCAAGAAAGAAACTGATAAAAAATTATTTGTTTTATATAATCGAATATAATTTCTTTAGGTACTTAACGGAAACATTATGGATGGAAGTGCAGCGTTTGATGCCATTGCACAAGAACAAAGCAAAAAGCCGTCCATAATTTCTCCAATAAATAATGATATGAAACTGAACGTGTCCGATGGTAATTTTCTATTGTAGACTTATGTTTCCGTTAACTATATTTGTTTAATAAATCTTACATTTCTTTAATATATTGCAGATGAGGATGGGCTTATTACTCAAGCAATCCTCTTAGGAAACATCGAGGCTGCTGTATCTTTGTGCTTTGCCAATAAGCGGTATGCAGATGCAGTCATTCTTTCGATGGCCGCTGGACCCGAATTACTAGCACGCACCCAGTACAGGTACTTTTCAGAGCATACCGGTGCTCTAAATTCTCTTATTAGTTCATTAGTCAGCGAAAACTGGGCTGACATTGTTAAAGGCAGTGATATAAACTGCTGGAGAGAAGTATTGATTGGAATATTCACCCATTCGAATCCGCAGGAACGATCTACTTTGTGCGGTGCGTATGAAACTAGTCGCAGTCATACCAAAACAAATTATGATCAACAATTTATGGATTCTATTTCACAGATATGCTTGGTGATCGTCTGGCATTGTCCGACAATCCAACTTTGAAGGACGAGGCTCAAATTTGCTACATTTGTTCCGGAAATCTGAACAAAATGGTAGAATCCTTGAACGTCGACATTCAAGAGGTAGTGGAGTTGGTAATGATAATGCAAAAAGCATTGGAGTTGCAAGGTACTAGAGACACACGGATAGAAGGACAAATTGCCAGCGTTTTGTCTCAGTACGCGCAAATGTTAGCGGCCGAGGGTGACCTTGAAGCTGCTCTAAATTACCTTGGGAACAGCCAAGACGAGAAGATCGTGATGTTAAAAGACAGATTGTGTAGAGCGTTAGGATATATCCAAGACTCTAGGAGTATGACGAAAGCGCCGAGGGCACAGAATTACTATGATCAAACGAGGAGGCCTTCGCAAACGAGCCATTCGCAGAACCTATTACTCACATCAAGGTCACAATCAAGACCTTACATCGATTCAAACGTTGCACCCGCAAAACAATCATTTGCACCACCCGCGAACCAATTCAATACGCAGCAACAACCTCTCGGGTTTCCTGCTACCAATCCTCTTCAACCACACATGCAGTCTCAGTTACAATACGATCAGTACGCACCAGCTCACTCTTATGGTTCTGCTCCTGTGACTCAACCTCCTCCTCCCCCGCCTCCAACCGGATCTAGTAATGTTGGGTCTCGACCATCCAGTGTTGGGCCTCAAGCGAGATCGAAATACGTGATAGACCCATCGGTGAAGTCTACCGCACCCTATGGTCAAACCGGTTATACTCAACAATCATACAGTAATCAACAAATATCTCCACTGTCGAACTATTCTGCACCAAACGCGTACCAGCCACAAATTCCTATGCCTTCGAATCCATATCCTGCACAGAACTTTACAGCCGCTCCGAAGGAACAGGAACCATTCAAACCAGTTCAGACTAGCATGTTAACACCGATGCAACCATCGGTGCAAACGCAAATGTACGATCCGATTAGAACGCAACCATCGCCACAATCTCGGCCTTATGGAAATGAAAACATGTATCAGGCATCTCCACAACCAGCCGGGTGGAATGATCCACCTGCCGCCAAAAGCAGAATGCAGGTAAGCGACCTAAAACATTTTATGATGTTATATTTACATATACATATATATACGTGTGTATATAAATTCGGATAAAACACAGCCAGTACTGGCATTGTACCACAAAAATGAAATGTCTGCGGAACATGCTGGTACCAGGAAGTGGAAAGAAAAACATTCGAAGAATGTCACTATGAAGGTAGAGAATTGTCAGAGAATTGAGTGACGTTATCACTGTTTCATAATTGCTGTTATTGTTGTAGTTGCAATTCTATATTTACCCTTCGTGTTACTTTACTTGGAGAAATGCCTGAAGAAGTTTCATTAGTTGCCTGTAACAGTTTCATTTTCGTGTGATATTGAACTTACTAATACCACAACGTGAAGCGCACAAATACGTTTCCAACTGCTTCATAAAAGAAAATTGTTGTGCGAAAATCATTCTCTAAATTGTACTATATGTACAAATCGCTGATTTCATTATTATGGTGATGCCATCCGTAGGATGAAATTGTAATTTTTAATAATTTACAGTTGAAACAGGAGTATCAGCCACAGAATCCAATTCTGCATCCATTGAGAGGTGCTACGAATCAACCGGAGCCGGACGTAAGTAATGTTATTTATACAAAATGTATTGAAATATCAATTATCAAATAATATTGACTTTTCTTTTCAGCTTTTGCCTCAAGAAAAGTTTTATCCGGACGTTCAAGCACCTTACAATCCCCAGCAGTATAATCAGAATGTGTCGAACATGAATGCTCAATTTGCCAGACAAGTAGAGCCACTGCAACCTGCTGCAGTTGTGAAAGCACCGGAGCCTGAAAAATCGAAAGCACCAATCCCAGAACAACATGTACATTTAAAAACAGTATTCGATGAACTAAAGAATCAATGTTACGAAAATGCTAAAAACCCGGTAAGACGAAACATTCTTCACACATACACACACACATGTAGCATACTACAGGAACTTTTGTTTATTTGTTTTCAGCAAATCAAAAGGAAGATAGAAGACGTGTCCAGAAAGTTGGAAGTTTTGTACGATTGTCTTAGAGAAAATAAAGTACGTATTCCTGGTGTTAAGCAATTGTTAATTTTAGTTGTAATATATTTTTATACGCATGTGTGTTGCAGTTGTCCCAAAATACCTTGCAGGCTCTGCATCAAATATCACAGATGATACAAAACGGAAATTACACCGGAGGTTTAGATTTTCACACGCAACTGGTCTCCGGTCCCGATTTCAGTCAAATATCCTCCTTCATGCCCGGTATTAAAGTATTACTTCTAAGTGCCCTTCAATTGAATGTCTACATTAGATAGAACGTAACATAAAAACGGATACTTCAATTCATTTTTATAATTTGCAATTTTATAATTCTCATCCAATGAGATATCTATGTTGCATTCACTTACCATAACGTACGCCGCCAATAATGATAGCCAGAACTATTCGAAAACGAACTTTGTTGCTTAATTGTATCATACAGAAATTATAAAACTTACATCTGAATGTAGCTAACGAGAATTCGATGAGCATGTATTATTAATCCTATACAACTAAAACGGTCATTATGCGAGAGAAAGAAGTGTATAAAAATGTAGGACGAAATATTAAAGTCGAGAACATCTACAACGTTCCCATAAATATTGTTAATCAAACTCATCCTTTTAATTATTGTGTATATAATATTAAAGTTGGCTTAAAAAGATCACGTGTATATTTTGAAATAAAAAATTATATAATTTTACTCAAATTATATATATATATATATATAAATATTAAATTGTTCTTGAAAATAGGGAAATTATGGAATAATCAGACTGTGTAGAATGGCTGCTTTTTCGTTAAGAATAAACTTTTGTAACAGTTCGTCTAAGGGGTCAATTCCATCACGGGCTGCTTGTCGCCTCATCGCCTGCTTCACTTCTTCGCGTACTCCTTTATCAGCTCCGCGAGTAGTAATGCGTCGATCTGTAATATTTCAACCAAAATGTAATCAAAGTATGCGATAAATGCGTCGAACAAATTCTACGAAATATATACTTTGTACTATCCCGGATGCGGTTGCGATATCCAATGATACACCGCCACCGTGTTCAGTCCACAAGTACGTCAATTCTTCTAGAATATCAACGCAAATGATATAAGCTTGAAACAGCGGATAAGCGAAGGAGCCACGATTGATAATTCGTTCTGTAATCGTGGTTAAAGTACTAGCCTCCTGTGGCCAGTCGATTTGCATTAACACCAATGCATGTCCTATGGCCAAGTCTCCGACTCCTCCGCCCAAGGAGAAATTTTCCTATCGAAAAAATACATGGTAACTTTGAACGAAATTTTCAACGGAAATTGGTCATTTAAATTGCACAATTTCCCATTACCTTTATCGCTGAAAGTAACAGCCTGCAACAATATTGAATTATTGGAAAACGTGCGACTGTTAAATAGTGCAGATGCCTTGCACAGGGAACTGTTAAATTATGCGACACTTTACCGGACGCAGAAGGTAGCGCGTTAACTACTAAAACTATATATTCCAACATTCCCTTGAAAAAAATGTTTCATACTTAAGAATATTAGCAAATTAATGTGAAGATGAAATAATATGGAAATGTATTAATACCTTATAATCTTTTAAGAAAAAACATGTATTTGCTAAACGAAGGTGAGCAGATAAACTACCTGCTTCTTGTGATAATCTTGCCAATACTTCGTGATGCAACCCTTTGTACATAGCTAAATCTGTTAAAAACGAGTTCAGCCACGTGTCTAACCGTAGTTGTTGATTTATTTTTACCATTTCTCTTTGTAAATAATCACTACTGTGTAGCAAGTCCCATAGTTTCACGGCCAATGCTAAACCATTACCGCTGTAATCTCCGTCGCTGGTTAACGCAATTCCTCCGTTTTCATCTCTCTTGCGTTTTTTCAATTTAGATTCTATTTATTAATAAAATTTGTAACTAATAAGTTCACATAAACTACTAAAAAATATAACTGGTATAATATCTCACCAGCAGGTGAATGAACACATTCTCCAAATGCTTCCACCAAACAGTACATAGTTTCGTCATTAATAATAAGTGAATTATGTTCATTTAATATTCTTAATAATACAACCACGGTGCACATTAACAATTGTCTAACTATCAGCTCCTCGCATAAACTTGTTGAATGTGCAACTGCGTACTGCTGCAATCTTTCGCAATACGTGTCTTTGTTCCAGGGCATGGAAAACAGACTGCCCAGTTCCCATCCCAACTTCTTTCCAATTAACTCTACCACTTGAAACAGTCTATCCCATGGATTTTGAATCTGGTTATCTTGTGGCTGCTGTATATATGCTAAATAAAATTCAACCGCTTTGCAGAGCAGCCTTAAGCAAAGCCTTGGATTCAGTTCTACAGGTGCAGTACCAAGAAGGGGCAATGCATCGCAAGCTAACAGTCTTCTGAACCCATTCACTGCACGCCCTGGATGACTGTGTTTCTCCGCAGTGAGTAGAGTTTCTACTAAACGTGGCTGAAAACAGAACAGTCTAAGAAGCAAGGTTACTAGTACAAGAGTTTTGAAGACAGAATTAGAACTACTTACTCCATGAGTAGCTATTGTTTGTGGAAATCTACGCAATAACAAAAGTAATAGTTTACAATGTTCCATTGTGTCTTCACTGTGATCAGCGGTCATAATAAGCAGTCTGTGCTGAAGTTCTTGAGGTATATGTTGGAACATCTGACATAAAAATTCTGCCTCGGGATCGCATTGCTCCAAACGAAGGCAAGCTGTTACCGTTTCTATCTCCTTCCATATGTCTCTGTCATCTGGAAAATTCTGAAATCTGTGCATACAGATTTATACAATTCTTTAAAAATATAGGACAATTTTTATATCACTATATATGAATTGTTATTGTTCAAGCCCTTACATTTCGCTAAAACATTTCGCCGCTTCTTTCACATTTTTCGACAGCTTTTCTATCCGATACGCTTCGAACTGACGAATAAATATTAAATTTTCAGTAAACGTTCAATCGTACGAAATGTTTACAGACTTGACAGATTAATATTTCTTCTAACCTGAACTTTTGCACTGTGAGGAAATAAAGATTTCGCTGTGATTAACCATGATTTGGCAGCGTAAATGTCAACCGGTAGCACGTCTTTTGCACGCCTTATTAAATAATCCTCTCTTGCTAATTGATTATTATCCGCAGATGACGTTTTCTCCAACATGTTTCGAGAGATTTTGGTTTTCTCGTACCCTTTACATACATATAAATAGAACAGTCAGCTAAGCGAACCACATGAGACACTCTATAACACAGAAATTATGAAGTATGCACATATTGCAGAACATTAATTTTTATTAGTAAGCAATTGTTGAGTAGTTACATTGTTATTTTCAATGGTCGTCGAGGGTAGAAAGATTAAAAATAATTTGTTTTATCATTTCCGGCAAAAATTCAAACCTACAGAATCATTTGTTACGAAAAAATTTCAAGTAGCACCATTCCTTGTAGCGGCAGAGCGCACAAATTAATAGTAGACAAATGTTACCGACAGTGCAATCCACCTAGAAAAATACTACAGCCTCTACTGATAGAATACTAGAACTATTATTCTGTTTAATATTTTTTTAAGTCAACGTCAGATGGAACGATTCGTATTTTCCAAATAATAATTGTTTGAAATAAAAAATTATTGAGATTTATCAATGTTTCTACATAAATTCAAACTTTCTTACAAACAAAATAGACCTATAGTGAAGTATATACACTTTCAGCTTCAATTTGAGCCTTCAAAAGCCTGTAAATTATTCTCCGGTTGGAAGTTATTCATTCATTTTTTATTCAACTTGTCGGGGGTACTAAGTACATAGTGCTATGACTGTCCTTGTCTCTCTCCGAAGATTTCATAAGTCAACAAGGATACCTCCTTGCTGGTCATAAGTCAATAGTAGGTAAAATTGGTTAAATTGTATGTATGACAAAACAACCAAGATTTATGAACAAAACAACCAAGATTAATAGTCATTTGGATATATAGGTCATCTTAGTTTACAACAATTTATAAGACGAGATCTATTCTTATATCTCGTCTATAAGAATAGGTAATTTTTGGTACTGTCGATAAAATTTATGTCGTTATTTGTGCGCTGTACTGTAGTTAGCGCTATCTGCCATCTGACTCAATTTTCAATTTACATATAAGAAATTATACATTGCAATTCATGAGAATTCGACGACCAAGGTAAAATTGTTTTAAAATACTTTTTATGAGTATGGAATGAACATTATAACATTTTTACAGTATTTATTAATTTAATATAGTAACTTCGTATAATACAAATCTTAATTCATAAACCAATTATACCATATTCATTTTTTATATAGACATCCATATTCCAAATCGGAAAGTACATACATACGATGATATCTAATTCATTCGAATAAATTTCAATAATATTTAAAAATCCATAAATTAAACAAAGTTTATTGAAATTAGTAAATAAAGTAAACGTAAAATTATGTTAATTTAATCAAATATTATCGCAATAAAAGTGACAATATCATATAATTTATGGACAAAACATAAATCAAAATAAAACACGGAAGGTGACAAAATGTGATGCGTTTCTGAACGAGCGTATCTAGTAAACGTTAAAAATTTTTATTTTTAGAAGACTGATACTGACAAAAGCGCGGCGCCATATTGCGTGCTTGTGTTTGGTTACTGTTCTGGCGCGTGGTCGAGAATTGTTATATTTAATTAATTATCATGTCCGATAACCAGGTGAGTTTACTAGTTTCGATAAACTAACAGCTAGTAGCAATATCTTACTATATAAATACAATGTAACATTGAAATGTTCGTTCATACGTTGAGTCTAATCGGTCTAACCTTGCGTATTAGGAGCAAAAACCCGAAGCCGGCCCAGGCGACGCGAATTCCGAATACATCAAGCTTAAAGTCGTCGGAAACGTAAGAGACGACGATTTTGTTTCTCTTATTTGCAATCTCCTACAATGATTCTCACTACTTACTTCATTGTTTCACTTTTTTTTAGGACAGCAATGAAATTCATTTTAGGGTAAAGATGACTACTCAAATGGGTAAACTCAAGAAGTCATATAGCGATCGAGTGGTTAGTTTTTTTTCTGTTCAAATAGACGTTCACTTATTTCGAGTTCTACCGTATATTTTGTTAATGTTTTTATTACCAGATACATTGTTCCAAGTTACTTGAAAGTTTCAAAGGATTTTTGATAGAGTCAGTATCAATTATCTTTGAACTGTATGATTAGTAATTTAAAAATTCATTAACCACTGATCTTTGAAATAGTTTAGTGGAATTGTAACTTCATATTTCAATGACCTGAGTCTTAAATATTTTAAAATTGCTCATCATACATACTGTGTTTTCAAAAGATTGAAAACTACTATTTTCTGCATAGAATAAATATTTACTAAAGACAATGAATTTAATGCAGGGTGTTCCCATGACATCACTCAGGTTTCTTTTTGATGGTAAAAGGATTAACGATGATGAGACACCAAAGCAGGTGAATACAAATGTTCAAATTTCAACTGTATAAATTGTGGCAACAAGATTAATTCTTGAAACAACAGTTTTAATCAACGAAAATGTTATTTATAAAATCGTCATTTATTTTAACAATATTTTATTGTTTTAGCTGGAAATGGAAAATGATGACGTTATCGAGGTATATCAAGAACAAACAGGTGGTCACTACTAAGGAAATTAAACCTATTATTCAGTTTTAATATCTTTTAAAGTGAAAGTGACTATCATAAAAAAATGGACAAGTTTATCAGTATGTATATGTATGTTAAAAAGCATTATGTAATTTGGTTTTTTACGTAATATTTTGATGTGCTATTCTACATTCCTGTAATGAAGCAAGATTAAGGACCATCAGCAACCATGTTTCATACAACATAACACATTCATTCACCAAAAACAAAACAACAAAAAAAAGAGAATTATGCCTCAATGTCATAAGTTTTGTCCTTTACTAACATCTGGCAATGTATTTACTTTTCATAGATTTCAGAATTTCCTAGTTTTAGATTATAAAAGTTTCGAAAAATAAAGTCTTAGTTTTATTATTAAAGCATAGTAAATATTATATAATGCGAACATGATTTTAAAAAATTGTTGCGTTTAAGGTGCATCTATAATAAAAAAAAAAAAGTAATATTTTCTCCTTTGTCTTCTTCATGTAATTGCTAAAGTAACGAATTGTTTTTAACTTTCAAATTCTGAGTGAACGATATGGAAAGAATTTGTTGTTTTCCTTTCTCTTATGGTAATCATGGAGTAGTTAATTTGATGTAAGTAATGTGGGTGCTGCCTACAAAATCGTTGATATTAAACAAGCTTATCCTGGGTATGTTCTATTGAAATGGACAGCTTTTATTGCATTGATATTAATAGGTTCTTGTAATCCAAGAATCAGACTTTGAGATGCATAAGCTGGACCAAAGACCCTCTGGATTTGTGCTAACATTTAAGGGCTTCATTTTTTTTTTTTGAAATTCTCTGAAATTTTTCTATGGGCATCCTCATTACAAAATACTTACTCAATGATTTAACAGGACAAAATTTCAACAAATTGTAATAAAATTTATTCTTGTACAAATAAGTAATATAGTTTTGTTTCTATTACTAACGTGTAAAAGTTGTTCGGAATTTCATTTTTTACTATTAAGCAGTCTTATTCTTCGAACAACATGAAATTTTTTTTTACAGTTACATTAATTTACTGTGGTTCCAAAAAGTTTCTCTATACCATGACCGAATTTTTCTATTGTGTGATACGATATTATAAAGAGGTATAATCAGATAAATAATTCTTATTAAATTCGATTGGATGTTTTATTATCTATTGTTTTAGAGTATGCACGTAGTATGTGTAGATCACTAAATTATGCAAATAATTAAAAGTATTACACTCGTATTTTATGTTTCTCATATAGAGGAGGGTTCTAAAAATGATTACTATAACGATACTATCTCAAAGAATAGAAGAAATGGTGTACACAAACTTTCTAGAACCACTGTAAGTGGTAAACATGTTTATAGTTAGAAATTGTAAGTAAGGTATAACAATAACATTAATAGTATTCCCTCGTAAAAGTGCAAATTATCGTGAGCGATAAGAATACATTCACGTGAAGAAATTTTGAATTCCGTAAGAACAGCAGATAATGATTTTGATATAAACAGCATTGTAATAATCATTAAATTTCACCAGTCTCACAATCATGTTTACATCTGGCAATAGTATAAAATACCTGTAATAATTATCTACAACAAAAAAAAATAAAAATAATCCTTAATTTTTTCCTAGTTATTTCATATGCTTAAGAAACACCGGAAATTAAACGAAACGTTGTACATCAAAAGGAAAGCTTTTTATTTAGTAGCATTGCTTTTCTTTATACATTGAACAGAGTTGATAGTTGCTAGTATTATTTACTTTTTAGCACTTCGTTCCAACGGTGATATTCGCAAAATCCTTAATGTTATAAACGAGTATGCCTAGAAATATTTTAACTATACACAAATTATCTTGCGTACTCTAATAATTCTAATGTGTGGCGTTCTAACATTATTACATATTTACAACAACCTACATCTAGAAGAAGCAATTTTCTGCCTCAATAATTGTAGTATCACAAAATTCGAAATCTTCAACAGGAGGATTTTGTATGTAGCACAAACATTTTGAAGTGTTTCTACCCCTGTTCTTAATTATGTGAATTGTTCGCATAAATTGCTTCTTCTGAAGCAATAATAACTTACTTGCCACAATTTAATCGCTTAATCATTACTTTATGCACTGGTGCGAAAAGAAGTCAGCAAGTAGATAAATAGTTCGTCTGACAAAATGAATTTATATAGTTTTAATATACACAGCTCATAATACGCATCGGATATTGTCTGAATCACCGACCCTTCGATCCGTGACAGATTCGTTACAGTTTCTTACAAATCTCTGCGGGGTAATTCCAAGTGAACGAAAAATCAGAACGTAAGCTGTTTTTACAGGGAGTGGAAAGATTTTACAATCTTATATGAAGTGTTAACAATAAATTCGCTTATTACTACACCACAGATCCTGATCAATCTTTTCAGACTAAAATCTTGTTAATTTCATATCCTGGATAGAATTTCCACGTTGTTCTCATTTTTAAAGTGTCGTTGCACAAAATTGTATCATATTAGAATTAGAATAATTTCCTTTTTCACAATTGAACACACACAGAAAAATTTCCCTTCACCTTGTGTTTAAAGAAACCATGCGCACACTGCATTTAACCGTTTTGCTTCTCCTGAGCGTTAAAAAAATCAATCAATGTGAATCATTAATCGTACAGAATCGTAATACAATAAAATAAAATAATAAATTTGTCGGAGATTCAGTATTAAGTTCAATTCATAATCAAACTTAATCCAGAAACAGAGTTTCGATATTAAAGACATCCAGCCTTCGATTTTGTCATGTTTGTAGAGTGCATTGTACCTTTTTCCATTTACAAAAAATACAACGGTGCAGTAAAATCTGTTTCTGAATGATTTAACTGTAACAGAAGCTTTAAAGTAACGACATTTTAGTAACCAATAACATAATTGCATTAATAAATTATAAGAATAACGGATTCTCTTTTTGTATTTTCATTTTTCTCATCAAACAAGACACACAAGAGATTTAAAATATCTAAAGAAAAAAGTATTAATTTCATAATAATTAAAAATTCAATCAAGAAATTCAATCATTTCCATCTCTGAAGTACAAATGCTACGTGTTACATAAGTACTTTTTTTCTTTTTAATTAGGACATCATGTATATATATTTATATATGTATATGTTCTTAAATAAAATGTACACAGTTTAATTCAAAACATACATTTTTTCAGATATAATCTTTCAGGTGGTATGACTATAAATAACGTTTTTTTTTTTTTTAGTTTA